TTTTGGGTTGTAAGCAGCTGATGAGAACCTAACGAAATAAAATGAATTCATATTATTCTGCACCAATCTTTGTTCTTACTCTCTTTAAAATAATAAAGGGAACTATGTGTATGAAATCACCTTTTTAACTAGCGTCATATACTATTTACATCAATATAAGTAGCACGCACTACAGTGTGATTTCTATGTAGTTCTCACATTGGCTCAGATCTCCTTTCTTTGGTATCGTGATGAGGTGTCCTTCTTTCCAGTATGTCAATGGCATTTGTTCCTCCTCCAAAATCTTCCTGAATAGAATGTGGCACATGTTTGCAGTGTTGTTTCAATATCCGGTGGATTAAGTGGAGCTGGCTTACTCAAAAGTTTCTCAAAGTGTTCTACCCATCTCTTCCTCTGTTCTCAAGTCTCGGTAACTGTATTGCTACTCTTAAAACTGTTCTTTGTCGAGCTCGTTGCTATCATTGGTGAGTGCATAACACTGGACAATATTCACTGTGATTTCCTCCTTCTTGTTTCAAAAGATGCTTTGATGATTCTGGATCCATGAAATTACCATCCTATGAGTCCATTTCATGCTTCACTGGACAGCATCAATGCAACTCCCTGAGTGTGAAGAGAATTTTCCTCTTCATGATCAGAGTATAGCAGCACCACATTGGTATCTATCTTTTTCTGTGCGGATTGAATGCAGTGGAATTCACTGATTTCGAGCACTGTCAAGTTGTATTTTTCATTTCCACAGCTATTTGAATAGTCTTCTCGGTCTCCTAAATTGTCCGGACGTTCCATGTACATATAAAAATTGTTGTTGTGGTTGTTAGAATGAGCATCGGTCTCACGACTTCCGAAGAATCTCGGCCTTCACCACTAGGCTTCATAGTTCTTCTGAATGAAGATACTTCAACTCGGAGAGCAGAGTTATATTGCTTTAATTTGTGTATTCTGATTAGCGTTTGTATTCACAAGGTTGTTTTCTACGGGATTAGGTTGCTGACAATGATTAGTCAGTACAGTTATTTCACAAGTTGAAATCATGAGCCAATTGAAGCTAGACCACCATGGAAAACCTGGAAGCACTGGATGGCCGTTTCGTCCTAGTATAGGACTCCTTAGCAGTGCGCATCCACGAACCCGCCCCCGCGGGATTCGAACCCAGGACCTACTGGCTTTGCGCGCGGTCTAGCTTCAATTGGCTCATGGTTTCAACTTGTGAAATTTCTAAAAATCTCCACAAAACCCATTCTGATAATAATACAGTCATTGTTACAAATAAAACAGAAGTGGTATGAAGTTTCTCAAGAACCTTAATTTTAAGTACTGACTAGAACTGAGTTCATTATATCAGTCTTATGACTCATCATCACTATTTCAAATAAACTATTGCTATATTAAACCAGATAATAAATCTTTTAAGATTACTTAAAGTAGGTCAGTATAATTACTTTTCAGTTGGAATAATTCAAACTAATCTCGATATAGAAATGTCAGTGGGTATATCAATTAATTCTTTCTGGATAAATTTCAAACTAGCAGAGCATTCTAAACTGCAAGCTTCATACTACCGTGTTCATAAATTCACAGTTTGATTAAGAAACTGTGACAAAATTATTTTCTGAGTTCCACAGATATTGAGGGTTTTTGGAACTTAGATGAATTTTGTTCTCTTTGGAACAATAAATTTAAGGAATGGTAGACTTGATCGTAGACACTAATTACAATTAAGAATACGGTCAAATGATTAACGATGGAGATTTTTTTTCACAGAAATATCTATATAAGTGTTTCAAAGAAAAGAGTAGACATAGGAAATTATCTTGATTTACTGGCGAACCGTCACTAATTTCTTGGAATTCTTGAACTGAGTTGAAATAGATTAACTTTCACTGGATTATTTAATGGAGGGAAACACGTTCTGCAGATTAAATATTTCAGTGTCTTGATAAATGTAGTTGATCTGTTTATTATCAATCAAAAATTAAAATTCTATGGGGAAATGATTCAATGCATATGGTTCAAATGAAACGGTAAGCTGAATAGATTAACACTCAACGAAACAATCTACATCGATTGTTTTGATGAAATCATAGCGAGATTAAGGAGGATTAATATGACAATGCAACCACGTAGATAAGAGTGTGCATATGTAGTTAGAACAAAAAATGTGTACATTATTGAATTTGTAATAAAACCCTATTAACTGACGAGAAATTAGCTTGAAGACTGCTGTGACATTATTCGGTGGCCTTATTAAATACAGAGAAGAGGATTCATCTATAAACTCGTTCCCTAATGAGAGATAGTGTACTAGTAATCATATCAATACCGACCACTATTAGTAAAACAGTGCAGTAAATGTTAACAAACCTTCGTAATAAGCTTTATCTATACTGATATAAACCATATTTTCCAAAGAGTCCGAAACTGAGCTGACATATGGCAATGATGTTGATTGGCTTGTCATTATTGGCTTGACAAATATGTATTCTTGGTAGGCACCTGGAGCATAAAGTTGAAAATATATCGACTGCCATACATTGGGTTTCAGAGTTAGCGTTAACTTCAGTGATGTTAAATAGTTCGGTATAACTTGATTTTTGACTGTTTTTGAATCAATAGAAATTAGATCAACTCCTGGAGCCTGACTTGATGACTTAAAAAATTAATAAATGAAAATTCCTCTTATACTCTGTAAAAGTTTAAATAAAATGTGTTATGAACCAAACACTTACAACTTACCCCTATAATCACGAATTAATAAACTCGATAAAATTACAATGCTCTTCAGTGGTTTCATTCAAGATGAATTTTAGAATTTCCTGATGGATCCATTAACCTGTCATGTAAGTCAATCAGAGAGTCAGGTTTGGTGTTCAAATCGAAAGTAAATCCTGATAGGATTAATCTACGAGGTGATTTAATGAAGAATATTATAAATTAACGAATTTTCACTAATAATTTAGTAACATAGTGTGTATCATAAATGCTAGGTATCCAGTATTCAATATTACTCTGCTTTTGCTGGTTACTGAATCATCATACATGAAAGTCGTCTTCAAATTTATCAAATTTTACAACACAACGAAGTGAACAACCTGTTGTACATCACTTCAACTTGTGTATGTATGTCACGTTGCAAAAATCATACTTGTTCTAACCAGTTATCAATATTTGTGTAAACCTAAATAACAGCCAGTGGTTTAAGGTAGGGTAACTAACTCTGAAGTAAAGTATAAAGTAAAATTCAATGTAACAAAATATTGTTTGAAGTCATACCAACACAGTAGAGTAGTTAGCTCGTGGAGTAATAGTTAACGTTTTCGTAAAACTGGATACACCAGAGGTAAATGTTGATGTGATTATCAAAGGCTTTGTGGTGATTGGAATTATCGAATAACGCATTGCAATATCACACTGAGCATCTGTACATGATTCATTGAAATACACTGAATTTATTTGCAATGTAGCCAAATTACTTTGGTAATCGGGAAAAGAAAATTAAAAGAAAAAGAAGAAAGACTTGTTGATATTTGTTAGAATTACATATATACTGTAGTGCAGTATGAAATTATTTTTATAATGGTTATTAGGGATGAGTTGTTGTTTCACTGAAATATTTTGATAATCACAGTAAGTTAGTGAGTAGAAAGTGCATAATTTCACCACATTCATGAGTGTTTTGCCAAAAGTGTGAACAACAAATATATCAGTGGTTATTGAAGCTGGTTAGGTTCAATTTTCATTTTATTCATGGTTCATCGAAATGATAGAAATATTAGGATTATAAGCAAAGATGAATAGTGGCTAGCAGTGGAATCGAAGATGCTCATTTCGTCCAATTTGGGACTCGTCAACCGGATGTACCTGCATCTCAGATTTGATGTTCACTCTGGGACTCTAACCCATTGCCGTTCGCTCCAAACGCCATCGTGTTATCCACTTAGCTACTGAGTCCTCAATAGAACGAAACGCGCGTCCTGGATACCACTGCTAGCCACTATCCATCTTTGCTTATTATGCTTATGAATTATGACAACAGCAAGACAATACGCACAGTGTGCACATATGCCATTAAAAGACTGATCAATTGCAATCCCACACATCAATGGGAAGATTCAAGGAAACAATACCAAGTGAATAATAGGACATTTTACTCAATTAACTTTTGAGAAACACTTAGTATACAATCGGCTACGCATATTGTTAAGGATTGTGATAAGGCACATTATGTAATAATGAAAATAATAATGTTGATACATCAAACGGGTTTGATCAACAGTGATTCAGTTAAGTTCAGTCTTTTCAACGTATATAAAGGATGACGGTCAGCATCATGGATACTACAACATTTATATATATAAATGAAAATTGAATATTAACTCGTTATAGATTACCTACATTTAGGTCCCTACTACAGTGACTGGTAATTGAATGTATGTGGCAATCTACAACCCCTACACGTGTTGAATTCTTAACGAAAATATGGATTAACAAAAGGATAATAATGTACAATTTCTATATACTGAGAATTAAAGTATTTTCTCAAATATCTAAATCTTATCTATCGGAAAAAATGTAGTCTAACACTCAGTGGATATTTCTGAAATGATAACTCATTAAAGTATAATGCATTTCTTTGCACAGAAATCTACTGATATGTGGAATGTAATTTGGAAAACTGATAAAACAAACTGACACAGAGTTCTGGATAATACATTCAGATTTATTGACGAATTATGCAAGACAGTCATCGAGAATAATCTCCAAAATTTGAAAGTTTGGTAGATATTTTGTATTTCAACAAGGGATTCTTGTTTGAAAATAGTAAATTACAGGTATTCGTAGTTAGTTTAGCCCACGTTTGATGTCGCGGAATTGATCCATATCCGTATACTTGATTTTTTGTAACATTATACATGAGTATATATATATATATATATATATATATAATGAATTAAGTATTCATATTTACATATGCATAAGAATACGGTTGATAATCAAGCTTACGGTTTAACAGAAAAATCATAGCCCACAAGTGCTACAGCTTTTAATAGATATCCAATTGTTTGAATACTCTGTCTGATTATAATTGCTTCATTTGAATTTACTTGTAGTTGAAAAGTTATCGGCATGTAGACAAAGTCTTCAATGAATTTCACTCGAACTTCTACAATTGTACTAAAGTTTACTGTTGGTTGTGAATTTCGTGGTTCGACTTTTTCAATAGTAACTACAGGAGTTTTAGAGACCTAATTTCAAATAGTGTTTGGAAATGATAACAAAAAATAATTGATTGAATGCAAAATTGTGAGATTGATTACAATTTAAGTTTACATTTACATGCAGTTTATATTTGAGTTATAAGCATTCCGTGAGGAAATATGAACACAGTTAATAAAAAAGGGGTTATAATACTAGATTACGTAATATGAATAATAACAATAACAATAGATTTAGTGATTATAATAAGATGATTAAAATGTTTTTGATATAATAATTAAAGGTCATAGAGGTGTACAAAAATAAACTGATATGATGAGCGTTCATGAATAAAACAATGAGAATATAAGACATAAGTAAAGGGGAAATGCAGTAATAATAATAATAATAATAATAATAATAATAATAATAATAATAATAACATTAATGGTAGGATAATCAAACTAATTAAGGCCAAGGTAACGATAACGATAAGACGTACTTCTTTTGTACGCATAGTTCTGGTTTAAGCTCCTGGATGGCAAGAGCTTCGGCTATTTTTAAAAGTTGTATACGAAGAAATCTGGGTAGATTTGAACGAATCATATAAACAACCTTAAAATCAATTTGTGGATCTGTTGAATGGTTATAGTCGATTAGGTGTTCAAGAATAGAACTCCTAACTGCTTTCCTTTCACCCTTATAGAACCAGGCTGGGATATGTTCTCGTATCCGAGTTGAAAGCGAGCGCTGGCTACGGCCAATGTACCTTGCTCCACAAGAGCAGGTGAACTGGTAGATGCACATGGAGGCGACCAGACGCGGAAGCTTATCTTTTATGGATACAGAAAATAAGTTTCTACTAGTGAAGGATATTCGCAGTTTTGCCGCGTTAAATGTTCTTCTAATAGTTGTTGTTAGACGGTTTTTGATTACGTCCGATGTTCGGTCACCTTTAAATTCCAGACTTATATAAAGGTTTTTCTTTGGAACGGAACAACTAGAATTCTTCTCGCGAATACTTTTATTCATATTCTTTTCTATGAACCGTTCTGGGTAACCATTTTCCGTCAAAGTCTTCTTCAGGAATGCGAGTTCTTCGTTAATGCATTCCGTACTGCATATGTGATGTATGCGATGGCATAAAGAATGGATAAGGTTTCTCTTCCTACGTAACGGAACCCAGCTATAGAAGTTGGTTAGCTGGCCATTCCATGTTTGTTTTCTAAAGATGGATCTTTTTAAAGAACCATTACTCGTTCTCATCAGACGTACATCGAGAAAAGGAATTGATTGGTCTTGTTCCCTTTCTAACGTGAAGTCTATGGAAGGGTGGCACGAGTTAAAGGTATGTAGAATATCATCTAAATCAATATTATTGTCACAAACAACAAACGTGTCGTCCATGTATCTCACGTACAGGTGGAATCGATTGATCATTGAACGGAGTTGGTCGTTTTCTACTTTTGCCATGAAACAGTCTGCTAAAATTGGACCCAATGGAGACCCCATTGCGATCCCATCCCTTTGTCTATATATTTCATTATTGAAACTGAACTGGACATTAAAAGTACAGCGTAACAATAATTCTTTCAAGTGTTCAGTTGGCAAACCTAGATCTATATTGTTAGAATCAATATACTCACATATATAACATATTGTTTCGGTTAAAGGTACGCTAGTGAACAAAGAATTAACGTCAAGCGAGAACATGTGTTTTTCGGAAGCATTAACGTCCTTAATACGATCAATAAATTGAAAAGTATCATGAATAGAATGTTTACATACTTGCCTTCTAACCGGTTCCAATTTTTCCGCTAACCATTTGGCGATTCTGTGGTATGGAGAACTTGACATGTCCAAAATAGGTCGTAACGGTAAACCCGGCTTATGTATTTTCGGTAGTCCATATAAGCGCGGGATGACTGAACCCATGGGACGCATGTGATTATATAAATCTTGGGTTATTATCCCCTTATTCTTAAGATTTTTAACAACATCTGTTAGCTGTTTTTCGATTTGTAATGTTTTATCAACTTCTTTAGGTTTGGAGAATTTAGTACCATCCTCTAGAATTAACTTCATTTTATCCAAATATTCTTTGCGGTCAAGTAGTACTACACCAGCTCCTTTGTCAGGTTTACTTAGGATTAAATCCTTATTTCTTTTCAACAGTATTAGCTGATTCAAGTGGTTCTTAGTTAATAGGTTATTCTTACTACAATGTGCATTAACGAATCCATGACTGCAGTCCAGTAATGTGGACTTAAAGTGTTCTAATTTTAATGTTTAAATGGGAATTATCTGTCAATTGAAGAAATGCAAGGACCTTATGACGATGAAAGGGCTCAATGAGTTCTTACGTTGCACCGTCAAGCTTGCGTTAGTGAAATGTGAGATCAATTTTCTCGAAAGCTGTATCGAAATTAATGATTATCCTAAACGTTTCTGGAAGGCATTAAGGCGAAACCATATTCATCCCAATACAAAAACACTCAAACGTCATGCACTCAATTATATCGATGCTATCAAATCTCGAAAAGTCGAACTAGATCGCAACATATCTCTAAGAAGTCACGCATTGTTTGAATTGTCGTTAGATGAACGTAAACAATTTGAGGACTATGTTACTAATGTTACAGAATAACAGTCACAAAAAGCTAAACGTAAACACTTGGAAACATTGCAACACGTAGACGTGACTAAAAAGTTTCCAGAACATCCAGAAAAGTATGTATTTAATCATTCTTCTATTAAACTTTCGCCAGTCCAAATGCAGGCCTTATCATTGGGTCCCAAGTTCTGTAACAGCACCTCCAAAACCAGTAGACTTCATACACAAATACAATTCGAAAATCTATCAAATCAAACTCATGATCTTATGCCGACAGCTCTACAAAATCTCCAGCACTTTAAGTCCATATTACTGGACTGCAGTCATGGACTTCTAGAATATCAATATGGCATGCTACTATTGACCGGTGGCATAACATGTTTATTCGCGGACTGGTTGAATCATAATGTTGGTATAACCAGCGCTAAATACCCATGATTTTCTGTACATTTTGATTCTTACCCATCAAGCACTTTATCAAATGTTCTTCTACTTTCTTTTTATTTGCGACTTGGAGTGTTCTAGCGTTCGATTGCTCAGGTTATACGTGGTATATTAAGAACCTAAACTAGATATAACAACTAGTGACGGGGTTAACTTATCAAAATGTCATTTATCTTTGACCAAGTCGAAGCCTTGCTTGAGCGTCAAGAAAAACGTTACGAACAGTTCCAGATTCGTATTCTAGAAGCTCTAACCCAGCAAATGAGCCTACATCAAAGGGGGCATACAGATGATCCACTCAAATCCAATGTTGACCACATTATTAATTCTATCCATGAATTTCATTTTGATGGTTTGGCTGGTGTTACATTTGAATCGTGATTCAAGAAATACAAAGATGTGTTCAGGGTCGACCTAGAAAAATTTGACGATGTCGCAAAGAACAGAGTACTGCTACGCAAACTTGGTACAGCTGGACATGAACGCTACACCAACTTCATTTTCCCTTAGAACCCCAGAGACTTTTCATTTGATGCAACGGTCGTAACGTTGTCGCGAATTTTCGGTGAACAGTCATCTTTGTTCAATATTCATTACCAATTTCTGAAGTTGAATAAAGCTGGAGACGATGGCCGGATGCAACATGCTGGCATAGTAAGCGTTTCAAATTATCAGCAATGATAGAAGACCAGTTTAAGTATTTTGTATTTGTATACAGCTTTCAGCCGCTTGAAGATGTCGACGTCAGAACCAGAATCCTGATTAAAATTGAACAGTGTCTAAATATGGCGCTATAAGAAGTGACTAGGGAATGTCAGACGTTGACGAACCTAAAACATGAAATATCTATGGTTGAAAACAGTGGCCGGCCACCATACGTACAGGTAATAAATCGTCGGAAATATTTTTTTGTATGCACACATGACAGCTCAAACAAACAACCTCCACCGTAGTTCTGGTTATGCGGTGAGTGGCACTACAAGAAGATTTTCCCAAATAAAAACTATCGTTATACTGAATGTCATCGTAAGTGTCATAGAGAATCCAGCTGCACAAAAAGAACCCACCGTCGTTCTTCGAAAACCTATTTCAAAAAATACAGATCTGGTGCGATAACTCACAAAATATTGATATCTCAGACCAAAGCACGAAGTTACCGCCGAAGAAATGTTGGGAGTCCCACAGTTCATCCAATAACATAACTAACGCACAGTGCATCTGGTGGGAAGTTGACTATTTTTGGAGAAGTACTCTGCAATTTTTCTAAATGTAATGTGACAACGAGTGTAACAGTGTACCTTACAAAGAATCCAGCACTTGACTTGTTTGGATTAGATCTGATAGACACTAAAACTAGCAGAGAATTTGATTAACAACATCTGCAGCCGAATCAGAACTGATAACCCCTTAGAGTGGAAGCAGAAAAATGCTGTGCTACAAAGACACCACCACGTGTTTATAGAAGGATTGGGAGAATGTACGAAAGTCAAAGCAATACTAACCCTCAAACATATTGTTTAGATGAATTATTAAATGAAAACATAAATCAAGATTACAGGAGTAGTGGGTATGGGTTGCTCCATAGACGTTATTGGAAGCGTTACAACAAAAGAAGATACAGTTAGTGATCCAGAAAACATCCGAACATACGTTTGTGTTGTGTCACCCAAGTATAGACCTCTGAATGTTAGATAAACTTATCGATCACTGAGGTAGCATAGTAGACTTACAAATGAGTTTAAGCTTGCATATACGATTTCATATAAGCATTCCTGTACTCTAGTATTGTTGTTCATATGATGACTAGAACTCAGTACTTCGAACATACAATGCGTCATCCACTTAGTGTCTGTGATCATATATGCATAATCGTCCTGGATTTTATTCTTATCTATTGTCCAACTCTGCTTAAAACACTTATGACTTAATCACAATATCGAAGTGATCTGGATGTGATGCACGTATACCACAAGAAAATGATCATTTGCTCTCCAACATATCAATGGAAGGTTCATGTAGCAAATACAAATAAACTAGATCGATATTGAAAAAGATATTTGTCCTACATTGATAGATCAGGTTTTATTTGTAGAATGTTGTTTAGATACAGTAGTAAATGAAAACATGAATCAAACTTACAGGAGTAGTGGTTATGGGTAGCTCCATAGACGTTATTGGAAGCGTTACTACAAAAGAAGATAGAGTTAGTACAATACTAAACATCTGAAGCCGCACTTGCATTGTATCACCCAAGGTATAGCTGGCATTGTATAATAATTTTAACCCGATTCGAAAATTATGATTAATATTCCATGGGCCATTGTTTCTGAATATACCAATTGTCGTTGTGCCTGCTGTTCTTCGCCCTTGAAATACAGTGTATTCTGTTATTAGCCTGATCTGTAATGTAAGTTAAACAATCAAGTTGAAAATACTATGTCAAAACATTTACTAATATCGAATTCCTTGATGGTGACATGATAGTTCTTTGTTTATAAATATCAACGAAATCAATAGGACACCGTTTAACATCACTGAGTAAGAAAAATCTATACTTTATGCCTGACTTCGAGAGAAATATTATTGCTCAACTTCCAGCAATCAAACTAGCAAGAAGTAATACACACAAAACACTCCACACATATACGACATGTATTGTAATGACAAGATATTATACACTGTTCAGTCATGTGACATATAAGTTTTCGGGTCAAGTCGATTATATGTACATAACTCAATGTAACTGATCCTGTGAAGATGGATACATGACGAAGTAAAGGATGGAATAAATCTATTGAAAATCCATTGCTGTTTCATATGATGAATACAGCACTCAATCAACAGCGTTCAACATCAGATAAATAGAACCAATGACTATTGCAAGGATTTTGCTTTTGCATTCATTAAACATACCAGAGACAAAAACCAACAACACTCTTTTTGTTTAGTAATCTCCTCTTTAAAGTTTCCACCTCCTAAATTAAAGCAATGTTCATTCGTTGTTTTTATTAAACATTAAATGTTAGAATACGTACATCTAGGAATCATTGATCAAAGGAATGTCTAAATAATTTTAACTATTTAGAGTTTCCATAGATCAGTGAATACTGAATTAATAAACTGGTTGAAATTCATGTCAAACACAAGTCAAAATATTAAAAGTAGAAAGCTTTACTGTTAAGGGCTATACAAATTTATACTAATGGTGTAACCGTAGTTTATGTTACATGCAACATGTAGTAACTGTGTATGGAAATATAATTAGACACGTATTATCAGTGGAAACTCGTCCGTTATTATAGAAAATACAGTAAAATATGAAACTATGAATTTGTGACCTGTATATTATAGTCATCTCCCTATTCTTCTTTAACCCATTGATCATTACGCAAACTCCTTTTGATATTTGAAATCTCGGATCATTACATGAAACAATGAACTTTATTGGTAGTGAAGAAGTATTCCTGTGGTGTGTGCTACTTACATTGACATATGTAGTATATGACGCGAGTTAAAAACCTATTGTCTGGCAGCAGAAGATGGGAGGAAGATCAAGAAAGGAAGAGCGGGAACACAATGCAATTTGTAAGAAAACGCAAGAATAATGAAATATGAGATAATGGATTGGTGTTTGCAACAGGAACAGTCCAGGTTGATATGATGGATTGATATTTTGCAAATTAACGATTTGCTATATGGTTTTTCTATTTTACCAAGAAACTCTGTAATTTTGCGCTAAATACAATTCGATTTTACACACCCGTGTTCTGCTCACTACATTCCTATATATCAAGCAGACACAGAGCTGAATGTTTCACTCCGAATTCATCGAAGTTTTAATTCTAATCTCAGTAAGAAGGTGTTCGAGTAAATTATACATGAAGCTCAACATCTGATTGAACTTCTAATAAAAGTGCACAGAATGAAATTATCCACTAGCCGTTTTCTCATTGTAGTGAAGGATCTATGATATATGTAGGTAATTAGTGGATGTGTTAATCAGTAAATAATTAGATATTTTCCAAACATGTTTCTGGGTAATAGTGATATTACAATGACCAGATAAGCTTGTTCATTCAAATGATTTTGATTTTAGACAAATTCTTAAAATAAAAGATTAAATTGTTTAATGACATTCATTTATGTAATTAATTCATAAAACTATTAATTAGTTAAGGATAAGCAGAAATAATGAGGAATATTTGTCTAGAATGAACATTGAGAAGTGATGCCCTATAGGCGGAAACTATTAACTAAGAAACTAAATTGTCAAGATAATTATAACTGTTATTCTGAATTAGGTTAATTATAATATGCGAGTCGACATTCAACTTTATCTGACTGTTGTAGTCAAATAATGGCAAGTCAAATAGAATTGTTATCAGGGAAAATATAAATAAAATCCAAATGTCTAATTCAATATTTATGAGGAAGTAGCTGTTATTCCACTGAATGTACTAATAAATGAGAATTTGATTACATGTGTTTTTCCATTGCAATAATAATTTTAATAATCATTATTATTACGTAGTGCAGACGGACACATTTTAGTCTACACTATACTTTCCTATCAATTTCGGAAACTTTTATGCAAACCAAACACTCCAATGAGCTACTGATCAGTCCATCAGTGGAGAAACATGGATCTATTCCCAAATATGTTGTATAAACATATACTCATTAAATTCAGATGTCAGAAATATTCGAGTGATAAACACCTAGGCATAGATGGGCACGCTTGCTAGCATGTATTACATGCAATCATAGGATGAGCAGACATGTCGAGTCATTTCAAAATTACACATAGGTGTAGAAGTTTACGTTAGCAATTTCAAGTTACATGCACATATAAAACGCATACGCCGCACCACATACACTCCACTACAAAAAATATCGATTAAGACCAATGAATTCGTGATAAATATTAGACCTTCATCCTAAGTATTTTAACATCTTAAAAGTTATGTGCATAATAAATGCTCTATGATGTAGCTCATTATCTGAATAATAACTTCAAAATATGCATCGAGATACCACTGTTTAGCATATTGTTATATTATTGTTATTATGTAACACACTAATTGATTTCGGTTTCATACTATCGAGCTGTATATTGTAAGTACTCAGTGCAACGAAAATGCCAAACAAGGAATTGAAGATCGAGTGGATTATGTTTTTATTCAGTATGAAAATATAATAACAGACATATTCGATCCAGACTTTTTCATTCAAGAAGAAGTGGCAAAACTGAGGAAACTGGGTTTTCAATTAAGTAGTTATTCTTTTTGTGAAGGTGAAAGGGATTGGAACAGTCATAAGATATGTTTCGAAGTGAACGACTTGATACTAAATACGTCTCATGACATTATGCACAAAACGTTGATATCACGGAATGCAGGATTTTCAAACAGTCCTTTTGTTGTCCTCTGCTCACATTGATATTTATCATAGTGAATTATTGATTGAAAAGCAAAAAAGCACATATGCTCAATGATTGCATTGGAATAGTAAAATTCCATGTTGTACTTTCAAAATATCATTCTTGACTACTTCAATTAGTTCAATGAAGCGTTTTAGAAACCAATTCGAAAAGGATTAATGTTTTCGAGGTATTTTCTCTACAAACACCGCTTAACATTTCATAAATATTCAGTTCTTATATTTTACGGGAAATCATAATGTTACGAATTATGTTACGGTTCGACGGACAACCATGGCGACTTAATGATTACAAATAATCTGTGCATTGGATAGAATGACAGTGTACTGATCATATCGCAATAAGTAGAAAATCGAATTACTCGCGTTAATAAAAAACCTGAAAAAGGTGTTTCAATTATAAATGAGTTTTCATTTTCCCTACCACTTACTTGTTTATTGACTTGAGGTATCTCAATATCAAGTGGCAAGCAATATAAATGATTCAAATACAATCATGCCGGTGTCAATTATCAAGCATCAAAAATTCTACTGTTATTCGTGCTTTGAAATTATTGACAAAAGTTTGTTAAAGTAAACACGTAAAGTTTATCCTCCCTTATGAGAGTTTTTTAAAAACCAAGGAAAATGGAAACAATCATTATGATATTTTAAACTTACGTTCTTAGTTGAATTATTTTCTGTTAACAAGTAATCAACAGAACATGGTTCCGTCATTAGTTTACCAGTATTAGTTATCAGGATAGTATAAGTCGCTGTTGTATAAGGTGGAACACTCAGTTCAACATTAAAGAATTGCAACTTTTCAGCTTGATTCACCACTGAGGTATCCTTTAATGTCAAGTTACTTTTCCAAGCCTATTCGTTAAAAATGAAGTTAATATGGTTTGTACTGACAACTTACCAAATTAGAACCTGTAAATGCTATGGGTTGGCTCTCACAAAAATTCACTGTAGAATTCTTACCTAATGGTGAGATTTTCGCTTCAAACATAACGGATACCAAATTTGGTTTATATATCTGGATAAAAACTGTTAGACGAACTGATCGATTCATCATTGGCAAAGTAGTGTCATAAACACCTAAAATATATTTTAAATTAAATGTGAATATTTACATATGAATATAAAATAAGAATTGCTCGTCCCAATAACTCGGAAAAGAAATATTCAAAGAAATATGAAAACAAGATCATTTTGTAAAAGGATGCTTGTCATTGGGACTTATGGGAGTGAATCGCGAAAGTTCCCTAATGAAATGTAATGGAAAATAATAGTTTATATTTGCAGTTTTTTAACACGACAGTTAGCTATTTATGAAAAAATGAGCCCGATGAAAGCTAAAAGACAGTCAACTAAACGTAATTATGTGCTTCATAGATGTAAGAGCTCTAATGGTGAGTAATGTTAGTAACCTTGAATATACTAAGGTCATTATCTTCCGGTCTGACTGAGAACACTGAAAGATAGCTGCAAGATATCGAGAATTGATTGAAGGTAAGCATGTGAGCCACTGGATGTAAGCTAAGTGGTCTAGAGGTTAGATGTTTGCACGACACACCGAGGTTCCTGGTTCCTATTCACAACAGTGAAGTGGTGGATGCGTACTGGCGAGAAGTCTCAATTTAGAAAAAAACTTAGCTTTCCAGTGCTTCCTAATATTTAATAATTGTTTAATAAAGATCAGTCTGTGATTCGGAAACACAAAACTCCTCACGATCCTCCTACATTAGTTAAGAATGATCGCAAACTTTCTACCAATACATTCATTCAACTATGCCAAGAAAAGAAGCCTAGAATGGATGATAATTTCGCACATTGTTCATCAAAGTTTGAGGGGTGAGAAGTTTTTACTGTTACATCTTTTATCAGTCTACATATGGAAGGTCTTGTAAAATGAGAAACAAAGAAGTAAAAACTAACTTTCTTCACTGGTAATTTTTAAAATATTGCAAAACATGAATTGTTTTGAACTGCATCGCATTCTTTTGCGATAGTAATTGACGGTTCACTATGTCACAATGCATCTGTGTTCGATAGCCACCTACAGACCTTGTAACGACCGCTATATAGTCGGGGTTCAAGTCAAAATAAAGCAGTTTACCCAATTGAAATGAGCAATATTCCACCATCTTACTGTTGGTACTTCTCTTTGTGATATTCATCTGCAATTAGTAATTATTCTCGAAAGAGAAAATAACTAGTATATCTTTCATAAAACTTTCTATAGATCATAGACAGAATGGGTGTGTGTCACCTACTTATGATTTTGTAATTTAACTTACTCCAGTCAGTAACATATTTATGAGTGCAATTATATTAAGAAAACTAAATATTCAGGGATGAAGAAACTATCGACTGAGCAGTTCACCGTCTTTTAACATCACTTTCCAAAAATAATGAATTTTATGTTATTGGACAATTTTTTACATAAAATTTCAAGACGCCTTGATGGTACTTTCAAAATGACCTAGACAGTAAATACGTGTTCAAAGTGGTTTCCTGGAAAACTGAAATCCTGTTCGTCTCACTTTTAGTTACCTTCTTTAGCAAACTAAGTACTAAATCGAAATCACAGTTTTCTCTATTCCTTTGCTCTTACTTAAATCGAAGAATATTGTTCAGCTTATACTACTATATTTAATAGCAGAAAATTAACTATTGTAACTATGACTTATCAAAGATCTTTATTTCTCCTCTCCGAAAATATTTAAGACATTTCAAACTAAATTGAGAGATCTCTCGCTTCCTGTCGTAGTATCAAAATGAAAGAAATCATGTTTTTTGATTTATCTAACCTAAACTGTTTATTTCTCGTTTCTTAATGATTACCCTGAAAGTTACGCCAGCATCTATGTGAATAATGGCAACACTCTAAGCCTGACATTTTTTGGCAGTGGACATTGAATTGATACTGTGAACTTGGTTTGGATTGAAGCCTCAATAGGATAATGAATGCTCCCTGGAGTGAACTAAAATTGATTTAAATTAATACTTTGCACACAGACTTGTAAGTTACTTTTCGAGTTAGTACTTAAATCGGAAAGTATGAAACCATTAAAATTAAAATATCTACTTGTCTATTTTGTTTGTTGTCAATAACACAAAATATTACAATCTTATTTACTGGATAGGATTCTGCTTAAGGTCTTTACAAGGTTACTTAAATTTTCCTGATAACTCTGAAACCATACTAGAAATGATAGTAAAAGCATACTTTATGGATGACTTTATAAAAACTGAACAGAATTTCCAGCCAGTTCTAAACTAATCAGAAAGCAGCTTTTAAAAATGAATAGTTTATGAAAAAAACGATGAGATTACAGTGTGAATGGATTCTAGGTAATTAATGATTATATTAATGTCTTCTACCTGTTGTTCCGCCTGCGAGTTGAAGAAACAGAAATATTACTTCAACCGTGTTGTTAGAGACTATCCGTTTTCGCTAATCTTTAAAATGACCCAAAACCAGTTCTCACATTATTTTTCGTTAGGGATAGAACATTTACGGTAATGGTTAGGGCTTTGGAGTTTTATTCACAAAATGACAAATTAAAATTCCTCTGTTGTCGTATAGTGTGAGTGAATTTCAGTCAAAAATACTGGAGTAAATATTTGATCAGTTCATTCATAAAATGTAGTTCCATTAGGTATGTGTTTGTTTTAGGATTAAAGATTTAAAGTTAGAACATATGGATAATGCCGATTTGCCTGTTAATTACAATCAAAGGAGACAGAAGTAGAATTTCGATACACTAAACACTTACGATTTTAATCTATATCTGCAAAAACTGAATTTTTGAGCAGTGCACAAAAGTATTTTCACTGCTTGTCACACATAGTATTTGAATTTCGTGCTGAAATCCCATTCTGATTGACTTGTCCCTAAAGTATACTTTTACTGAAACCATCGCCGTAATTACTTTTTGAATTGAGTTTTCCACATTACTCTCTTTCCATTTTCTGATTGACTTCCATCGCTCCTAGTTAGCTAAATTTCTATAGTCTTAACGGTCATCTTTTTGTTCCTATATTACAGAGATAAGTGAAATCATAACCTTGAACGGCGTATACTAGTGCGATTCACGAAAACCTCAACAAAACATACTATGAATATATTAGTTAATTTTTGTTCAGGAAATAAGTTGGACAAGAGATATTTGATTCCAGTAAACAGTTTAACGATAAGTGAAATGCACAAAAATTCTAAAAATAACAACAAAATAAAAAGTATCTTCGTTGGTCTAAACAAGTTAGCAACTATTTGATAGTGGTTGAATTCGACTATTGATCACAACCCGGTTAAACCATACTATTTTTTTCCATCAAATTTCACTATGACAATAGGAGACGGTTGTAAACTAGCGAAATCAGATATCAGGATTCTCGCAGTGTGAATAAGTCTATATTGATTCCACGATAAGCAGCGAAGAAGTACTATCGTGTATTTTTAAGCAGGATGATGACAACACATTTGAGAAATTCTCCTAATAGAAGTTTAGAAGTTTTAATACAAGTCTTTTACAAAATAAAATAGTGTTACAAGTAGCAGAATTATTCAGAATTTAACTGCAATCACACAAAAGTAAATTTATCAGATAATGAAATGTATAACAATCTGCTAGCAGATATCATTTGGTTAGTAGCAATCGCTCTTCATTTGTAAACTGATATATAATGTAGGTATGAAGCTCAATTATCAGGCCTCGATTTCATTGAGAGAACTGTGAAATCCGTATCATACAGGAGCTTATATTTGAAGTGACTTCTACACATGCTCATTTTTGTGGTCCATATTTTTATATGTAGACATTTAACTTTTCGTAAAACAAATCCTGTTCTTCTTTCCATTAGTATTGTCTTCACTTGGAGATTCGTGTCAATAATCTGATCTCTTATTCAGCAAAAACAGGGACTAAAGTAACAATACGTTTATCCATTGGTTTATTTACAATTCTAAAACCGTGTATTGTTCACGAGATGATTACCAGTAAAATATATGTATTCAGCCCCTACCATCTTCTTCATTCCTCTTAATCACTCCATCTTTATGCATATTCGATTGTTCACAACAGCTCTTGTCATTTCAGTTCAGTAATAAATATCTTTGGTACGTGGAAACTGTCATACCATTACACTACATGTGTCATATTTAATAGGTTTTCGAAGTAAAACAGCCGAACACTTTCCAATTTATGACTGAGCAAGACAGAATAAACACTGAGCTTATTCAAATTCATCATCAACAGTTGAGGGATTTGTCTATGCACAAATGTTGTCACCAAATATATGTGGTTGTTAAGAATTGATTAGTAACACCAGTTTGACGAGGCCATTATACTGACCGGTAAAAAAGTGATTCATCGAAGGAATATTAACAGAGATATAATTATCGAAAGGTTCAGGTGAGTCCAAAATGATTATTAATGGAAGATATGAAAATTCGGTACTTGTGTAAATAAGTATCAGAAAATGGAAAGGCGCTTGTTATTGTTTTGACAAGTGTATACTTAATTCCATAAACATGCGTACAGGAAAAGATGTAATATTTGGAAAACACAAAATTTATGAGCACCACGTTTTGAGAATCGTGGTTGGTTGTGAAACATCAGGAACTTAGTGTTATAAGACACAGCTAGACTGAATATAACTGTTAATATATGATACAGTTAACAATATACATGGTTTATACTGAAACAGAGTGTTTAACGTTAGAAATAATTGTACGGTGAACTTACCTGGATTTTGTAGATTTGAAACACTAACGTAGCCAATGGTAGTCAGTATGAAGTTATCACCAACGAATTGTTGCGTATCTATTTTGTAACCTTCTGGGTATGTAGAGAATGTTGTAGGTAGTGTCAAAGATATATGTCCAATCGAAGCACTCAACACATCAGTCGTGAATGTGAACTATCAAACAATTTATTAGGAAACAACAGTAAGTATTTTTCTGTAAGTGTCTTTAAGAAAATAAATACGTTCAGTTTTGTATTGGGTGAACATACAAAAGTAAAGTGTTTATATACAGATATATCTACTCAATGTCCTACAACACTATGATGCATATTTAAATGTACTCGATTAATTTTGTCTGAAGATGGATGATCTCAGATGTTGTAGAAGTTCTCTCGTTATCATATTGAATAATTACCTGTTTCGTATTGCATTGGTTTGTTAAAAATTTGCCACACTTTATTTGTTCAAACAATTAATAGTCTGTGAAGCACTGATCTGGTATATTTAACAGAATTCGTATTATGAAATTGGATAATATTCATCAGGTCAAATACTTAGGAAAATTATAGTTGATATGGCCATTGATATTAAAGAGAAATAGTGATAGCATTTCAGCTAAAACAACACACTGTCAATACTAAAAATTGTCCCTATACAAATGAGAATATAATCACCAGGATAATAAGTCTAGCAACTTCATTTCGTTCTATTTGGTCGATTATTCAACGTACTTCAAGTTTTTAAATGTTATATAATCTATGATTTTGATTTGTGGCTGTACGATGTGAGATGATAAACCTTAATAGAGTTTTATTTTATTCACCTGTCCTTCTTTAAAACGGATCTTGTTTTTTCAAAAGAGTGGTTGATTATTCTTATATTTCTTCTAATGATTTAAAGGTTTACAAATGTATTCCAATATCATATCAGAATTTATCGGAAATTAGTGGAAAACACTGAACGACATTCAGTGTATTTGTTGAGTGTGGTAAAGATAGAGGTGATGATTATAACATACTTGAATGTTGTTGATCTTGACAAATGATCTTGATTTAATTTATATGGTGTTTAATCCACGTAATTCATCTCACTTATTTACAGTGTCAGCTGATTCATTATATTCTTAAGAAGAGTAACTGAATAAAATCAGATTTTCACAGACATCTGACTATCAGGTTTTTACTATTTTGCAGCATCTGTACTCCTCTAGCTGATATTCTCTGGAGTAATTGTCATCAAAACCTG